TGTCACACTTAAGGCAGGATTAGAATTTATAATCTTTTGGTTTCTAGGCCCAGACCTTCACTAACACACCAAACCGATTCTCTTTTATTTATATGAATTAAATATATGAATAAACAGCAATGTGCACTAAAAGCAAGTGCTCAGAGTGTGTGTGTGTGTGCACAGACTATATTGACAAATTAGAAGCAAAAATAGCTTAGAATCTGATTTATTACATTACGTTTAGAAATAAGAGATCTTGCATTCTTCCCCCTAGAAAGCAAACTAATGTATGCTTCAAGTTTACAACCTAATATGGTTCAGAAGCAGATTCAATGAAGGAGAAAGAAAGAGCATGTTGTTTTCAAAAAATATTTCAAACATACCAGCTTTCATTTTAAAAACTGTTTTAAAACATAGAAAAACATTGTCTAAGCAAATCCTGTAGGAAGAAGCAAGCTAAATTATGTAAGGTTGAACAGAGATTCAATTGGCATACTAACTGATTTCAAGTTAATGTACAATGACAAACATTTATTTATGTATTTGTTTTTCAGAGAACTTATTTGATTGGACTTCTTTCTTTATGATGAACCTCAAAGTTAGATGATAGCAAAGGAATAAGGATTTTTTTTAAAAAAAAAAAGTCTTATTGTAAACAACCAGTGCCATCAATAGTTCTAAAGTGATTTTATAAATATTAATACAAACCATAATTTGCTTTTTAAAATAATTCATCTAAAATTGAAATTCAATCTGATCATAAATCAGCAACTGGGGCTGTTTACTGCAGAGGTTTTTTGGCTCTTTTTTAAATTTTTGCATATATTAATATTTAAAAACAGCATCCTTATTGTGCCTTTCTTGAACAAAACATACTTTTTATTGTCTCGGTTATAAAGCCACTTTTATTTGTGTTCATACACGTGTAAAAATGTGCTCCCCGTCTATCAATGAAATATCTTTAGACTTATAAAATCAAAAAGAAACCAAATCCATATTCTTTTCTCCAAAAGGGATCAAGATGAAAAAGAAAGTCCTGCTCAGAAATCTGTCTCCTTCCCTGCCTGTACAATCCACCCCCTCGCTGGCAACTATTCAGAAGCCAGCATATGTTCTCTAAAGCTGCATTTCTCAACCTTGCAAGCTTATAAGATGTGTGGACTTCAACTCTCAGAATTCCCCAGCCAATATGGGAATTCTGGGAGTTGAAGTCCACACATCTTAAAGCGGCCAAGGTTGAGAAACACAGCTGTTGGTACTGATTTCCCATTAGCAGTCTTGGCATCACCTTTCTCAGGAAAAATTACAATGGACTTTCCTATGTGCATATTTTACACTCTGCTGCCCAGATCAGAGTTTTAACTCTTCTATCCTGCTGTCCAACTTTTATACCCTAGAGCAGGGGTATCAAACTTAAAGCCCACAGGCCGGATCCAGCCCATGGCGTGTTTAGATCTGGCCCGCGGGGCCACCTTGGAAACAGCGATGGTGCCTCTGCCAACAAAAACAGAGCTTGGGAGGGCTGCGCATGGTCCTCCCAGGCTCCATTTTTTGGCTGACCTCCTGCAGCCCTCTGCCAGCAAAAATGGAGCTCAGGAGCCTGTTTTCACTAACAGAGCGTTTGGGTTACCACAGGCACCCCCGACACGAGTGACGTCAATCTGGCCACTTCCACCGCAGGACCCTAAGGTCAAACAATACCCTGGTGCGGCCCTCAATGAAATTGAGTTTGACGCCCCTGCCCTAGACCACTTTCTTAGATGCAGGAATTTTCACAAAAAACAAATACAGGCATGTTCCCCCTTTCCTGTCCAATAGATCTAGTATCAAGTAATAGATTTCACTGTAGGTGTGTTAAGGATCTTTTAGGCTTTTAGCATCTCAATATACAGTATCCTTCCCTTTCCTAAATATTAAAACAAAATATTCCTTAAAATTATTGTCAGAGCATTTGGTAACAGGATTTAAAATATCCCAAAGGTGCTTTTTCAAGAGATTAGGGTTGAGGTTAGGATTAAGGTTAGGGTTCATCTGAAAAACTGACAAACTGAAGAATCTTCTTGGATGAAAAGTGAAATGTCTTCGAAGAAAAACCAGAAAGTCCAGTTGCCTCTTGAAAAAGCACCTTTGGGACAAGCATGACCTGGATGTCTGAGAACCTCCATAGGATTTAAAATAGTTACTTTGCATATTAAAATAATTTGTCAAATATTATAGAAGCATAGCTCTATCACGCATCTACAAATACAACCATCCCAGCATGAAGAGCTAGATATGTATTAAAAGCAGACAGGAAAGACCTCAATTAAAATTCATGATGCTTAAGCAAATGTCTCTCAATATTCATAATTTTCCATTTCATCATTTCAGCCCACCAACCAGCCTCCCCAACAAATAAATATTTCCTAAGGAATAGATTCAGACTGGCCTTAATAAATGTTTTTGCAGTAACTAGCTAGATACTGTGGAAGTTATTTCTTCTATAGATTCTCTGAAATATGTATCTTAGTATATTGCAAATTTAGATATTATGGTTTTCAGTATGTAAAATCTTAACATTTTTAGTTTAAACAATCTGAATAAAATAATCTGCCAATTGTTAACCAGATGAGTTATAACTACAGAAATAGCAATAGCACTTAGACTACAGAAAGTATTCAGACCACCTTCACTTTTGTCGATTTGGTTATGCTGCAGCCCGATTCTACAGTTGTTGAAATTCAATTTTTTTCTCATGAATCTACACTCAGTACTCCATAATGACTAAGTGAAAACAGAATTTTAGAAATATTTGTAAATGTATTAAAAAGAGAAAACTGAAATATCACATTGGCATAAGTATTCAGACTCTTCACTCAATCCTTTGTTGTAGCACCTTTGGTAGAAATTACAGCCTTGAGTCCTTTTGGGTATGACGCAACAAGCTTTGCACACTGGATTGGATCTGCCATTCTTCCTTGGAAATCCTCTCAAGCTCAGTCCGGATGGATGGCAACCATCAGTGGACACCCATTTTCAGGTCCCTCCAGAGATATTCAATAGGGTTCAAGACAGGGTTCTGGTTGGGCCACTCCAAGACATTCACACAGTTGTCCCTAAGCCACTCTTGTGTTGTCTTGGCTGTGTGCTTAGGATCATTGTCATGTTGGAAAATGAACCTTCAGCTCAGTCTGAGATCCTGAGAGCTCTGGAACAGGTTTTCACTGAGGATATCCTTGTACTTTGCTCCATTCAGCTTTCCTTCAACCCTGACCAGTCTCCCAGTCCCTGCGGTTGAAAAATACCCCCACAGCATGATGCTGCCACCACCATGCTTCACTATTGGGATGGTATTGGGCAAGTGATGAACGGTGCCTAGTTTTCCTTCAGATACAACATTTAGAATTGAGGCCAAACAGTTCAATCTTGGTTTCATCAGACCAGAGAATCATGTTCCTTATAATCTGAGATTCCTCCAGGTACTTTTTTTTGCAAACTCCAAGTGGGCTTTCATGCATTTTGCACTGAGAAAAGGCTTCCATCCAGTCACTCTAGACCCTAGACTCCATAAAACCCAGATCTATGGAGGGCTGCAGTGATGGTTGACCTTCTGGAACTCTGTTCCATATCTTCACAGGATCTCTGGAGCTCAGTCAGAGTGACCATCAGGTTCTTGGTCACCTTTCTTACTAAGGCCCTTCTCCACGGATTGCTCAGTTTGACCAGGCAACCAGCTCTTGGAAGCATCTTGGTTGTACCAAACATCTTCCATTTGAGAATTATGGAAGCCATTGTGCTCTTAGGAACCTTCAGTGCAGCAAAAAAATTATTGTGGTCTTCCCCATATTTGTGCTTTGCAATAATCCTGTCTCTGAGTTCTGCAAGCAGTTCCTTTGACCGCATGGCTTTGCTCTGCTACAGCAAGCATTGTCAGCTGTGAGACCTTCTATAGAGAGCAGTGTGCCTTTCCAAATCATGTCTAACCAATTTAATTTACCACAGGTTGACTCCAATCAAGGTGTAGAAACATTTCAGCAACTATCAAGAGAAATGGGAGGCACCAGACCTAAATTTCACGTGTTGTTGCAAACGGATTGAATACTTATGCCAATGTGGTCTTTCAATTTTTTTCTTTTTAATAAATTTATAGACATTTCTAAAATTCTGTTTTCACTTTGTCATTAGAAGGTACTGAGTGTAGATTAATGAGGAAAAAAAGGAACTTCAACAACTATAGAATCAGGCTACAGCATAATAAAACTGACAAAGGTGAAGTGGATCTGAATACTTTCTGAATGCACTGGATATAACACTTCATAGTGCTTTAGTACCCTCTCTAAGTGGTTTACAGAGTCAGCAGTTACATTGCCCCCAACAATCTGGATCCTCATTTTACTGATCTCAGAAAGATGGATTGCTGAGTCAATTTTGAGCCAGTCAGAATCAAACTGCTGGCAATCAGCAGAATTTGTCTGCAATATTTCATTCTAACCATTGCAGCACCACGATTCTGTGCTATGAGAGCTCTAAACTCTATGCAAGAGTGTAGAACTCTCATAGATGCACAAAAGTTCAAATAATACTGCCAATCATGTATCTGCATCCACACAGGAAGCACTGTTCTTCCAATAATGAAGGCATCTTTTGCCCTTTAACTTAATCTTTTCAATTTATGTTCTAAATCTATTTAATACTGGTAAGAGTTTTGTGAACCAAATTTCACAAGATCACTCACAGAATATGAATACCAACCATCCGAAGGAAATGTATATAACTATCTCTATAGAATCAATATATGATTATAATTAAATCATTTGTTATGAAAGTACATACATGCAGCTTTGGTTGCCTAGTTTTTGGACCAAATCATATTTTATCAGCCAAGCAATGGCATAATTTTCCTTAAAATAAATATGTCAACTCTGGAAACAGTGTCTGACTTTTCCCTCATTTGATTGCTTTTACTATATACTATTCATAGCCTTCTTTCAGAGCGAGTCCAAAAACATTCAGAATAACATGTATTTTAGGTTACTTACGATTGGTGAACACTACAGTTGTAAAATACAAAATCCACAGATGCAAACTTCTTCCCTGTCTCTTTGGACTTAAGATAAAGCTTTACCACTCGCTTATCACCTAGAAAGAGAACAAAGCAAGCATAGAGAATCAGAAATCAACAAACTGATGATTGGCACCGACATCTGTAAAAATAAAGACTTTTACTTTGACCAGATTGAAATAAATAGTTCTGACCAAATTGAGAAATAGTTTCAGTGAATAACTAAGGCCATGAGAAAACATTAATCATGGAGGAAGATGATCCATCCAAACCACTTTTCTTCTTTCTAGATAGCTTTAATGATTTAGAGAGAAAGTAATCTTGCTTAGTGCAAAACTAAAAAAAGCTGGTGAAAGACTCTGATAATAGATCTTTAACTGCCTACTGCAGAATTTATATTTGGCATTCTCCACCTTAAATACCTCTCTAGATCTAATCTGGAAACTTTCTGAAGATGTAATTGGCAATAATGTCTGATTGAACTTTTTAAAAATGGGGAACCAAAAGATTTGTAGCAAATATACCTCAATGAAAAATTAGCCTCAGCAAATCACTGGTTTGGTCTCAAGCTACTCTATCCAATGACAAACTGACTTTTCCAGTCCCTCAATTAATATGTTAATATTAATATTTCAATTATTGTCCTTTTTTCTCTATTTACATGCTACCTCTCCCTTGGGTTAATATGTTATATCTTAAGGGATTTTGATTTCTCTGTAACAAAAACAACCCAAGTATGTGAGGCCAGAATAGATCTATGATGGCGAACCTGTGGCACACATAGTCATATTGGTGGGCATGTGAGCTCAGCTCTGGTGCTCATGTGCGCACCAGCCAGCTGATTTTCGGGCCTTCTGGGCCCACTGGAAATAGGGAAACAGGCTGTTTCCTGCCTCCAGAGGGCCTTGAGTGGGTGGGGAAGGCTGTTTTCGCCCTCCCCAAGCTCCTAGAAAGGGTCTGGAGGCTGGGGAGAGCAAAAAATGGGCCTTCCGGTCCTACCAGAAGTTGGCAAATGGGCCATTTCCGGCCTCCAGAGGGCCTCTAGGGGGGTGGGGAAGGCCGTTTTCACCCTCCCCAAGCTCCGAGGAAGGGTCTTGAGCCTGGAGAGAGAGAAAACTGTGCCAGGAGTGGGGGGGGGGAAGTGGGGAGGGTCGCACACTCATGCGTGGGAGCGGGGCGCATAGAATTATGGGTGTGGGCACACATGCGCACGACCCCCCCCCCCCAGCTCCTGGCACGTAATGGCAGAAAGGTTAGCCATCACTGGAACAGATTATACCATCTGAACAGAAGACTAAATTATCTGCCTTCCATACAGGGACAGTATTTTTAGACAGTGCTTAGAGCAATCTTTCCCAACCTTGGCAGCTTGAAGTTGTCTAGACTTCATCTCCCAGAATTCCCCAGCCAGCATTGAGGAGTTCAACTAGGTGTTGAAGTATACACATCTTTCACATTGCCAAAATTGAACAATTTTAACCCCCCAAGAGAAGGATTTTGTAATGGAATAAAAATATTACAAGAAGTATAGAATCATAATAATAAACTACATAGACTGCCTTAGCTTTTGTATTACTTAAATATTTGTTGAAAAAATTCAGTTCCCTAAATACACTCAGTTTATTCTATATTTAACTGTTGCAGGATGATGAGAGGATATTAACTCACCTTGTCCTCTGGTAATAGGTATCACATCTTTTGTAGATGGAGAACTACAGTAGATTCTGCCATCTTCAATGCGACTTTCAGATTCAGTGAAATCTTCAAAGGAACAATTCACACCAGCCAGGAGATCAGGAACATTCCAGGCTTGCAAAACCAGCTGACGGGGAAAAAAATCTATTCAGTGATCTGTTTTTTGTTTTTTTTTAAGGGGATCTATAACAAAACTTGCATACTTCGCCATCTTAAAGAAATATACTGACATAGTATTTAAATTCCAGAGTTACATGGAATTTAAAGTAAAATGACCCACCGGGACTTCCGACATGGTGACTGATATATTCTTAGGCTGAACGGTAAGTTGAACACATTGACGCAGATCTGAGGCAAATCGCTGGTGTTCATCAGCTCGATCACAACGCTCCTTCCGAGAACAGCTGTGAAAAAGCAAAAAACAATGTGTGTAAGACTGTGGTAATCTTTAGCTACAACTAATAATGTTCTCATTATACTGTTATATTGATGATTAATGACATGCAAAGACTGATCTTATCTTCATCTGCTAGTTCATTTTAGTTTTATTTAAATTCTAGTCCACCTTTCATGACTGCTGTCAGTTACAATGGAAATGGAATAAAAGTTGCACAATTAAATGAGAAAGCCCTTAATGCTATTCCTATATTACACAAATAATAAAAGAGACCATAAATATTATCAATTGAAAACATGCTTCACAATACATACTGAAACTTCACATTCCAATAATCACAGAAATATTTCTTTGGTAATTCAACTTATTTTTGTATATTATATTTTGCTCTTGAACCCACATCCATGTTTATAAGAAAACTAATGCCTAGGTTAGGATGGCATTCAATGTCTCAAAGAATCTTGCTGGGAAAAAAAATAAAGATGGGCTTTATGCATCATTTTACAAATTAATCTTAATGAGAAAGGAGTAAAGGAAACATTTTACAAACATAGGTATATCTTCTCAGAGGAAGCCTTAATCACAGTACAAAAGTTTGCTCCTAGAAGGTTATTAAAATTTATGTCTTTACTGCAATAAAATCTGAATTTTGAAAACAAGCCTTATTCTTCTGTTTTGGTTTGCTTGCTAAATTAAATTTCAATATTTCTCTCTGAAAATTAGTCCTTTAAACGAAGAAACCTAGATGTTATTACTCCTTAAAGTTAAATCTCTATCTTTATGATGGGATCTTAATTTCATTTGCAATTGTGCATGGGTTATTAACGATGCAACACAATAATCTAACAAATACTTACCATGCTGAACAGCTTCTTAATATTCACTGTTTGTATAAATGCTTGCAAGTGTGCAGTGAGCTTTTGCACTTGATCTTTACAAAACCACTACATGATAAGTCACAGAATAGGAAAGAGTCTCAGTATGTATTTCATCCAATATGATGATTATGCAAGAAATCCTTTAGAACTGTATTAGCTTATCAGACCTTTTTTTAAAAAAAAAAAAAAGTAGGGAAGACAGTCCATTCCACGAGCAAAACATGTTTATCTAATAGCTAAGAGAATATTCCTAAAGTTACGAAATGTCTTGTAATTTGAACTAGTTGATCTGGATACTATAAACAACTGCTCCTTCATTTCTGTAACAGTTCTTCAAATATGCAAAGATGGATACCCTGAATCAAGTCTTCTCGGAATAAGCATATGCAATGCTTACAATCTTTCAACATATTCATCACCATCCTTCAGACATATCCTAGCTCATTAATATTCTTCTTAAAATATCACAGTCAAAACTGCTTTTTTCACTACGCAAGAAGAAGGAGTCAACAGTAAGAGTAACTTACCAGTTAAGGTTTTTTAATTATATAAACATCACTTTATTGTAAGAATGTAATGAATTAGGACTTATAATACAATAGTAACATAAAAAGTTTTACCTAGCAGGTAAGAATAAGAAACAGTAACATTGAGACTCATTCTTATTCTGTGACTTTTTATGTAGTGGTTTTGTAAAGATCAGCAACTTCATGGCAGAGTCAAAATTCAAGCTGAAAATTTTGTGATTCAGTTCTCTGTATGACACTGATGATGCAACTTTATACCTGGGCATTTATATGTCTGAATTAGATCCTTTTTAAAATTTCTGTCCTTTAATATCCTACCCTAATCAATTCCATGCTCTTCCCATCTCATGTATTGTGATTTTAATGGAGCTACAGTCCTGCTTCAATTTCCTTTGAGCCTAACAGTTCATCACACTCATCTATGCTCTCGATTAAGCAACTCCAAGCAATTTCAAATAAGCAGCTGCAAATATTCCATCTATTTCATCAAAGGCAGCCACTCGGCTGCCCCCGTAGCACTGTTCTAGCCAGGTATTCTGCCTCCATTAATAAGTTTAAATGGGTTTCTTTAACTTCTCTTCCCTGCATTTGTGATAACATTATTTCATTATAGAAAGCATTTAATTAAGCAGAGGGCAATACAGTATAAGCAGATACACATGCACCATTCAAGGTCTTGGTAATCTCAATGATTTATCTCCCTAGCAAGTGCCAGCATGACACTGCACAATGGAGTTTCTGAGCCACTACAACATTCCACCTATATCCTTGGGATGCTTCAGGGAGAGAGATGTCTTTGAATTTTAATTAAAATGCTCCACATGGCTAAACAGTCAGGACTCTGTAGCTTCTAACAACTTTTCCCCCTCAAGCCCAAAGAAAATCACCCCTTTAATGTCTTTCAATTTTTTGTTTTGCCCCTTCTCTTTTACGCTTTCATTTGTAACCCTATATGAGAGGCCCAGTTCCTGAGTTAAAGACACTGAATTGTAAGTTAGTTTTGATCCGTGGCAATAGATGCACATAATCTTCAAAGAAAACCAGACAAATGAGTTATAAAAGATAATGTCTTCTTCATACTGTTCCTCTGCAGCTAAAACAGGGCTAGAACTGATTCCCAAGAATATTTCCCTGTTGCCAAATGTTCTTGGATTGGCATCTCAACGCTGCCCCAGTTCAAGCCAATTTCAAAAGTTAAGAATCTCAACTTTCCCAATATGACAAACAAGTAGCATTGGGGTACCTGCATTTGATGCATCAACCAACATAACTGGAAACGTTTGATAGCTACAAGTACTGACATTTCATGCTGAGCAATCAAATTGCATTCATAAAACGATTAGGAAAGTTTCTTTAAACTGTAGACTAAGATAAAATATTTTCAAGCAGAAAGAACTAAATATGCTACATTAATGCTATTACCCCCACCCATTTTCCATTAGTCCAAGTAATTCAATATCTAAAGTCATTATATATGCATAGGTGTGTGTGCGTGCGTGCGTGTGTGCGTGCGTGTGTGCGTGCATGTGTGTGTATCACTATTAAGATGCTGCACACCCTCTCTAAATAAATAAATCATGGACAACTAGTCTCAGGGCAGCAAACTATTTTGGGGAATGCATAGTCTGTGTCAATCAATCTATGCTGGAATGAGGGTGACTCCTGCTGTGTTTCAAGATAGGAAGTAGAAAATTTAGTCCTCAGCCACCCACACATCAGACATTCAGAAGCTGCCGATTCAGTAGACAACTGGCAACTCGGAGCTGGCTGTCATCAATCAGCTTTACAGCATTAAGCATTTACAACAGAGGCAAGAGGAGGCTAAGTATACATTGAGGTTTACTTCTCTCAGCTTGAAATAAACAGGTGAAGCCTAACAGCAATTCTTTGCTCTATTCCCCCACTGTGCTGGTTCCACATTCATGCAAATCAGCAGGATGAGGGATTCCTGGCAACTACAATGGACCGAATTTTTTAATCCCTACGAAAGTTTGCTGAGGTATCCTACCATAGGAGATTCAAGGTTGAATCTACATGACAGGCCGACTCACTCAAGCAAAACAAGTAATTTCCCCAACAGTACAAAAAGAAATGATAATGTCATCCTTATCCTTATCATAGTTATAACATTTTTATGAGTATGCACAGCACTTCAATCTTATTATTGCAATCTTATAATAACTCCATAAACTCAGTATTATATAAACATGAGAGAGAGAGAAAGAGCAGTGCTGCACTAAGAAATAGCATTTCTGTCCATTAGACAGAAAAACGCCACAGCTTCCTGCCTTTTACTTTTTTATAGAAGTTAACCAGGTGCCACCAAAAGCCCGCAAACAGATCTAGAAATGAATTCCTTCTCTGGCTCTTTCCTCATCACTTCACATTCAATAGTCTCTTGTTTTTAATAATTAGATCTCATAGCAGCATTATGACTAATGCACTCCAAGCTCACCTCTTGTCAAGGCCTCCTGTCATTTTTCAACTCTATGCCTTCTACCATTTTCCCTTTTTTTTCTATCAGTCCTTCTTTCCTTAGCATTGTTCTAACGAATTGTTTTCTGATTTAACTTAACTTTAATATGGCCATATTTTGCTACTTTCCCTTGTTTAACGCTCCCAAAAGTTCTGCTTATGTATTTCATGCTATCATATGCTTGATGGTAGGAACTACGATAGTTAGGTGTTACAGAACATAATATTAATACATTTTTTAAATTTTTATTGATGAAATTTAACAATTACAACAATTATATTAGTGATCATACAGTAAAAATGCACATCCTAGTGATTAAAATAAACTAAAGAAAAGAAACAACTAGTATCTATATAGCATCAGCAAGAAACTTGTTCAATCTCTAAACTTAACATTACATGAGGGATACTTCGTGCTCTCTGAAGTTAGTTGTTTTCTTGCAAGGTGTTTCATTACCCAACTTCATCAGTACTAGGTCTGTGCTAACATTGATGACGTTACCTAGTCGGGTAATGAAACATCTGCAATGAAACAACCAATGAAAGGATCCCTCAGCTCAATCCTGAGCTACAAATATTCTCTGTACATCTAGACCATACAGAACCATATTCCTCTTTGTACATGACCTTGTTACTAAATTGAAGGTTAACTGTACTATTGTAAACAGGTTTATAAGCATTCACAATGTCAGAAGTAAGGCTTCCACAAGGGAACAAAGTTTTTATATATAAATAAAGGAGTGTAGAGAATAGGGAGACCCCATCAAACCAAACCAAAAGACTATTCAGCATACTTACATGTTATGTAGGACACACCAACCACAGTGAGGATCTCTAGAACCCAGGCACAGTGCACATGTTGTATATTGCTCACAGCTTTCCACTGGCACACGGGTCACCTGGGGGGACAAGCACTAGTGTTAAATAAAGTCATACTTCAGAGACTTTCAAGTTGAAGTTCTTATTCAAATGAAATTCCCAGTGCTTTCTCTTTTTCCCTATTTACCATCAGACAACTGAAAATAGTTCATTCAGTTTCAGCACCCTATTCCTTGGTTACGAGGGAAGAAAAAGTGAAAAATCCAGAACTAGGAGTTAAAATAAGAGAAGTCTTATTTTATCACTCTGTCATGGGGTACCAGCACTATGGAATGAGGTTCCTCCTGAGATCCATGTAGCTTCCACCCTACTCTGCATTCTGCAAAACCTTAAAGACCTGGCTGTTCTCTATACTTTGAGTTAGGGTGGATAGTGTCCTGCTGCACTTGGTAGGGAGGGGGAGGAGTGCTGTTACTAGGACTTGCCATGAGTTCTTGTTCTTTTTAATAATTTTATTATAATGCATTTTCCAGTTTGTTTGTTCTTGTCAATACATAAATTATATAAATTTAATATAACATAATTTAAAAAGGGTCTTGGCTGAAACAGAGATGCACTTCTTGGCAACTCAAGACAATGATTTCCCAACACCAGCTCTCTCTGTTTAATACTATGTTACAACATTATGGTGTTGTACTAAGGGGAAGGAATTATGGTTACCAACCATCTTTTAAACATTCAATTCTCCTTTGATATAGGTAATTGGGAAGGGGTGTTATGACAACCAGCTGTTGAAAAGAATACTTCATTGCTGCTGCCAGAAGAAAACGCCACTGCCTTTGTGAAACAGATGGCAAGCACTGAAAAAAGGTGAGGCAGAGGACTCTTTGTCTACCACCCCAATTGTTCTCCATGGACTACACAACATGATTACAATGCAATCATTAGGGGGGGGAAGCAATTCAGTTAGCATTGAAAGCATTCTAGAATTCAAAATTATGTTATCGTTCCTTCAGTTTGTTCTGCTATTTCAAGGGAAGCATATTTTTTCCCCTAAACTGAGATCTCCACTTGACCTTTAAATAATGTGGTAGGATTACCCTCCAGAAAGTATGCAGGACCTTGATAAGGTAGTTATTTTACTATAGACAATTACAGCAACTATGATTACCTGCTAGGAAATTCTCCACATCACATCTAAACATTTTATTTTAGTGGCTATTGGGGCACAGGGGAGGGGGAGGCGCTTGTTAATCTGCATGTGGCCAATTTTGGCCCAATATTGCACCTGCTTCAAATACATAATCCTTCCCAAATAGTTAAAAAAGACTATAGTTTTCCCTAACCCATATCTTCTATATATATTATATTAGGGCTCCCATCATCACCTGCCAGCATAATTCTGTTATGATCATTCTGCGTATCAGCTAGGGCACTGGCATGGGGGAAAGTGGAGTATAATTCAGCCCACTATTTTTAGTGCTATAAGACCTGAAATGATGCTGAAATGAGCTAAATTTCAATAAAATAATATGCACGCATTCCCTAACTGAAATAGTTCATGCTGAAATCACCTAAGGACTGATTCGGGAATTTATCAGAAAAGGATCTGACTGAACATTACAACTGAATTTTAGACATGAAAATTAGACATCTCTTTTTGAAGAGATAAGAGAGTAGGTAGGAATGTCAACAAAGGTACAGAAAATCTCATACAAATTAAGTAGTTTTATATAGGGAGGAAAAAAACCAAGAACAAAATGCAAGCTTGCTTTGCTAAAATAATTTTACACTTCCCATTCTTGCAATCCCCACATTTAAAGCCAAATACCTTCAGTGGGCCTAAAAAGGTCAACAAAATATTGGTCAAACACCAAGGTTCTTTCTAAGCGCACGGTCAATCATTGGAGGCACCCTACTACTTCCTTGATGTTGCTGATCACAGCAGAGGGAAAAGGAAGCAATTTTTTTTGTGCTTTCAATTTTCTCAATATTCCCCTGGGTCATTCCTGAGTCTAAAAAATAAAATTCTGGGTCTGTTAGATCAGTTTCCAACTCAGAGGAGCCTGTGTCTGAACATCAGCTAAGAAGAACTGATGTTTCAAAAAGAGAAGAAAGGAAACATTCCCATGAAGATGGGAATGGCTGAAAGGAACCTATACTCCACAACATAGACTGCAGTGGTGCAAAACCGAAGACTAACAGCTGCCGAGTGTGCAACTATACCAGTATGAATGCTTCCCCAACTTGTATCTCTTGCTGGAATAGCAAGAGAATCTTCTCTAACCCTAACCCGAACCCTTAACAAAAGACAATACTATCCTAGCTTTCCAAAATATGCGGCAATAATCTTTACCCCATTTTAGATTTCCATGTTATCCTATTCTTTCTCAAAGAGTATTCATAAATATAGCATATTTATATCACATCATGTCTGTAAGATAATAACCAATCCAAGGGTATTCAATGAATATCAGAAAAAAAAAATAGTCACACCAGACCAAGGGTGTCAAACTCAAGGTCTGCGGGTCAGGCTCAGCCTGCGGGTCAGGCCCAGCCTGCGGGGTGCTCAAATCCGGCCCATTGGGGCAGTGTAGAAATAGTAAAGGACTGGCCCATGGTGCCTCTGGCAGCCAAAACAGGGTGTGGGGGGCCCTGTACCCCATCTTCGGGCTGGACGGCTTCCTGCAGCACTCCGCTAGTCAAAACGGGGCAGGTCTGGGCCACACATGCCCCCTCGTGCTCCATTTTGGCTGGCAGAGTGCTGCAGGAGGCGTCCGTGCTGTCTCCCTGTCTCCCCTCCCCCCCAGCTGGCTGCAGAGAAGAACTACAATGCTGATCTGGCCCTCGAAGAAATCCAGTTTGACACCCTGCACTAGACCATGAACTTTTATAAATCATAGTGGCTTCTTGGCCCAATACACCAAAATCAAACAAGCCAAATTACGTTTTCATACTCAGCTTCAACTTCACTATCATGTATCTTCAATTTAGAAACTTGTTTTCCATAGTTCCTGGCTATATGGACACAACCTCATCTATGTAGAAATTAGACAGACATTGAGTGAATGTATACGGCTAAGAAATGGGGTCACCCACTTCATTTTCCTGTAATATTTGTGTTCATTCTCTCCTTTCATGAAAACAGAGCTACTGACTGCCAGCAATTTCCACTGGATATATCTCGAATAGTTTCATTATGGATGAAAAATCGATAAGAACGAAAATCTCAAAATATGTACAGTTCTCAGTTACTATATATTTATTTTGTTTCTAATGTACTGTACACCTCTCCAGAAGATAGCTAGAAATATCTGTTTATCTGTTCCATGCATTTAATATTTCTGAGAAATTGATTTCAACAATTTTCTGGGAGTCAATGTTTATCTTATTTACCCAAAGGTTTTTCAGTTACTCTTCATTAAAACAGAAAAGGAAGCAGACAGTAATACCAGCATCCCTCTGTAGATCCGCTTCTGATTACAATATCATCAGCAAGAGTTGTATGTCACTCTCTTTTTATAGGTGACCAGAATGTGAAATAAAATTCAACTCCTGGGTAATTGGCTAATCAGAAAAGCCTGGTTCAGGAAGAAACTGCCTTGCTTCTTTTAATCATCATCATCATCATCATCATCACAAACTGACTACCTACAACGACATGACCGTGTTGCTAAGATTATTCACTGGAAATTATGCCAGAAGTTTGGATTTGAATACAGCAAAAACCATTGGGAACATCAGGTTGAAAAAGTTTTAGAGAATGAGAAACTCAAGATCTTGTGGGACTTTAGGATTCAGACTGACAGGCACTTGGTCCACAACACACCTGACATAACAATAGCTGAAAAGAAAAAAATATGGTTCATTGACATTGCAATACCTGGTGATGCACGGATTGAAGATAAGCAGCAAGAAAAAATCACAAAGTACCGGGACTTGCAAACTGAAGTTGAGCGACTGTGGAAAAAGAAATTGTGTGTTGTCCCGATTGTAATTGGAGCCCTTGGAGCAATACCCAAAGGGCTACCCTGCTATTTAGAAATTCTAAATTTGCCGGACTTGAAAATTTTGACTCTACAAAAAACCACCTTACTCGGAACAGCTTACATCCTCTGACGATACCTTAACAGTTCCTAGGTCCTTGGTTAGGACTCAAGCTGCTGAGCTATTAACCAGCCTCAAAGGCTGTGAATCTCACTAAAGATTAACCAATAATAATATTAGAGCATGATTAACAACTTTAGAAACTATTTTCCAAACCTTAAACTATTTATATAGATAGCATTTCAGGTTAGAAGAAGGCACACTATTGTGCATTTCATCTGTGAATACAGAGGTGGCTCTGAGTCCCAGTATGGAAGGCCAGAGTCTAGCACAATGAGATCACTGAAGTCCATAAACATTTGTAGCATATACAATTTCATGACCTCTAGGATCTGACTATATATAACACACCAATAAAGTCTTTGTACTGCGCTCTGGCTTTAGGAAACTGTAACAAAACCAGGGTGGATAAAAATCGTTGGTTTTTGTTTTTTTTTTAAATCAAAATATTGGGTTTTTTAAAATTTAAATCGGAGTTTTTTATTTTTATCAAATTTATTTTAATAAAATGCTTTTGGAGTAAAAATCTATCTAAAGATAGTTTTCTATTTAAGATACATTAATAATTTAGTTTATTCAGCATGAAATGGAGCTTAGTTATGTAGCATGAGGCTGTATATTCTGCAATATTTACATTTTTGGTAAACTCATTCAATGAATCCAAGCTCTGCAAGCTAAATAGGAAACCTTCATTTTGTTTGCAAATAATAATATTAAAGATTCTAACTACCAGCAAGAATGTGTCCTTACCTTTTAAAGAGCACCTATCATTTCAGAGCCATCATGGCAGCTGATCCTGTTAGTGGGCATCCACTCACCTGCTGCCCGCCATCTCCCTCACCTTGTGTCACTGCCGCATCACCAGTTATCCCATTAAAGTGAATGGGACTGTTGGTGAGTCAACAGCGGGTCAGAAGAGGAGCCGCTGCGGGACAGAGATGACAGTTGCTCTTTAAAGATTATTATTTAAATC